GACTCGCCTGAGCCCAGGAGTTGGAGGTTGCTGTGAGCTGTGATGCCATGGCATGCTACCCAGGGGGACAGCTTGAGGATCCTGTCTCAAAAAGAAAAAAAGAAAAGTTGGTGGCATGGTCCTTTTAGGTTGCTATAACATAATACCATAAACTGGGAGGTTTATGTACAACAGAAATTTACTACTCACCGGGGGCTGAAAAGTCTGAGATAGAGGTGCCAGCAGATCTGGTATCTGGTGAGGGCCTGGTTCCTGGTTCATAGATAGATGGCTGTCCTCTTGGTGTGCCTTCACCTGGTAAAAGAAGCAAACAAGCTCTCCAGGTCTCTTTTAGTCCTGTTTATGAGGGCTTCACCCTCATGATCTAATCACCTCCCAAAGGCCCTACCTCTTAATACCATCACATTGGGGACTAGGTTTCAACATAGTAATTCGGGCAGTGATGCAAACATTCAGACCATAGTACTTGGTAAAGCAATTCTCAGTTTAGTCTTAAGCTCTGCTAAGAAGTCCTAGTCTTTCACTTATAAACTGGCTATCATTCATTAACCATCTCTATATGCTAGGTGTTCTACTTGGATTACTTTTAATCTTCCCATTTCTGTGGTTTGGTGGGTATTTTTATCCCCATTTTACAAAGTGGTTCACAGGGCATAGCAGTGAAACAAGTTGAGAAAGTAGCTTTGGATCAAAACTAGAGACTGTTCAAAAGTGCTAGAGTTTGAATCTGGCTACATGCACACTAGTTGTTTGAACTGATACCAGTTACTTAATTTCTTTGTGGGCTTATATGCTCATCTCTAAAATAGAATAAAATCGTACAAACTCAAGAGAGTTGTTGTGGGTGTTAAATGAGCTAACATCTATAAACAGCTTACAGTGCTTGGGCTTTTAGTAATACCAATGAATATTAGTTACTGTTATTAATTTGGTGGGCCCTAAGGCTGAATCTGAGGGCCTCTTTTTTTTCCTCTGTATATCTGTTTCTCCCCAGGTGACCTCATTCGATCCCATGACTTTAAACTCTATACTGATGACTCCAAAATTTATATCTCCTGCCACCCTGATACTTTTCAAGTGCCAGTCAGCTCATGTCCCTTCTCTACTCAACACTCTCTAATGGCTTCCCATCTCTCTCAGTAGAAAAGCCAGATCCCTAGCCAGGGTCTATGAAACCCTACAAGATCTATTCTGCTTTTTTTCTTTTTTGCAGTTTTTGGGGTTGGGTTTGAACACACCACCTCCAGCATATGGGGCCAGTGCCCTACTCCTTTGAGCCACGGGTGCTGCTCTATCCTGCTTTTCTGATGTGGCACCATTTTTCTCCAGCCAGGCTGATGTGCTTATTGAACATTCCCAAGCACTCTTGGCTCTCCCATTTTTTGTATTTTCTTGGCTCTCCCATTTTTTGTATTAGCTGTTCTGCCCAGATGTGTTCATCCCTAGATTTAAATGACACATTCGTTTGCTTTATTCAGATCCCTGATCAAATGCTGTCTTATCAGAGAGGCCATTCCTGATGACCTCTAATAAAATATTTCCTTTCCTTCTCATTTCTGCTTACCCTATTTCTTAGCATTTTTCTTTATGATACCGATTACTGGTATGTTTATTAATTTATTTAAGGTCTGCTATTCTCCTCTCGAATGTGAGCTGTATTAAAGCAGAAACTTTGCTTTGCTTCCAGCCCCTAAATCAGTGCTTGGCGCACGGCAGGCACTCAATAAATATGTATTGCTTACCTATAATTATGTCAACTGCCCAGCTAGTGAGCAGCAGAGTCTCATACTCAAGTCAGTCCTGCCTTTAAAAGCTTTTGTATTTTCTACTCCATTAATCTGTAGCTCATGTCAAGGAAGATACAAACCTCATTATGAATATACATCAATTCTTAGGCCTTTTCTGTTCAAACTAGAAATTTTATGCATATTAGGATTGATTGGTTATTTAGTAACATTTAGGAAATATTTACTGCACACTTACTACTTGCTCTTGGATAAGAAACAATAATGTGCACCCCAACAATAACCAATTCACTCATAAGGAGTAAAAATTTACCCAAGAAACTTGAAGCCAGGGGAAGGTACATTTTTGTACTATGAATCTGAGTTAAGAATTATTGGTTCCAGGGCAGCACCTGTGGCTCAAAGAAATAGGGCGCCATATGCCAGAGGTGGTGGGTTTGAACCCAGTCCTGGCCAAAAACTGCAAAAAAAAAGAATTATTGGTTCCAGGGCTGTGCCTGTGGCTCAGTGGGTGGGGTGCTGGCTCCATATACCGAGGGTGGTGGGTTCAAACTCTGCCCTGGCCAAACTGCAACAAAAAAATAGCCAGGCATTGTGGCGGGCGCCTGTAGTCCCAGCTACTCCAGAGGCTGAGGCAGGAGAATCGCCTAAGCCCAGGAGTTGGAGGTTGCTGTGAGCTGTGATGCCACGGCACTCTACCAAGGGTGATAAAGTGAGACTCTGTCTCTAAAAAAAAAAAAAAAGAATTATTGGTTCCAGCTGGGCACAGTGGTTCATGCTTATGACCCTAGGACTCTGGAAGCTGAGGCAGGTGAATTGCTTGAGATCAGTAATTTGAGACCAGACAGCAAGAGCAAGACCCTGCTTCTACTAAAAATGGAAAGACCAGCCAGGCATCACGGTGAGGGCCCATAGTCCCAGCTACTTGGGAAGCTGAGACAGGAAGATCACTTGAGCCCAAAAGTTTGAGATTGCTGTGAGCTATGATAGCACCATGGCAGTACCAAGGTCTCACTTTACTCAAGGTGACACAGTCTCAAAAAAAAGAAGAGGAATTATTAGTTTTATTTATTGCATAAAATAGAACATTTAATCATCTCTCAAATTTTTTCTTTTCCTGTATTTCTCAATTTTTGTTCATTCATTGTGTAAGCTAAATTTCTATGCATTACCCTCAATTTCTCTTTTTCTCTCATCCTCTATGTCCAATCCATCCATAAGGACTATAAACTACAAAATCTACAAAACTTATCCTGAGATAATCTACTTCTCATCATCTCCACCTCAATTAACTCTAGTCCCAGGACAACTCTACTTGCCTGGGCTACAAGCAGAATTTTTTTATTTTTATGTATTTATTTATTTATTTATTTATTTTTTAGAGACAGAGTCTTACATTATCGCCCTCAGTAGAGTGCTGTGGCATCATAGCTCACAGCAACCTTCAACTCCTAGGCTTAGGCGATTCTCTTGCCTCAGCCTCCCGAGTAGCTGAGACTACAGGCGCCCACCACAATGCCTGGCTATTTTTTTGTTGCAGTTCAGCCAGGGCTGGGTTTGAACCCGCCACCCTCGGTATATGGAACTGGCGCCCTACTCACTGAGCCACATGTGCTGCCCCAAAGCAGAATTTTAAAAATATTTTCCTTATTTTCTTATTTGCACCCTTTTTCCTACCCAGTAGCTAGCAATCTTTCTCTCTCTCTCTCTTTTTTCTTTTTTTGAGACAGAGTCTCATTACGTTGCCCTTGGTAGAGTGCTGTGGCATCATAGCTCATAGCAAACTCAAACTCTTGGGCTTAAGCAATTCTCTTGCTTCAGCTTCCCAAGTAGCTAGAACTAACTACCCACCACAACACCCCGCTATTTGTTGTTGTTGTTGTAGTTGTCATTGTTGTTTAGCAGGCCGGGGCTGGGTTTGAAACCGCCAGCCCCTGCACTGCTTATAAAAATGTAAATTACATATTACTACCTTCCCTAAAAGCATCCATGGCTTCCTTTTGTTTTTTTCACTATAAATCATTCCACTTAGAAAAACATTTAACTCATTGCCTTAGACTACAAGCCCTATTTAATTTGGCCCTGATCACTACCAGTCCAATTTTCTATCCTACAATTTTTCACCCTGCCTGTGCATTCTCGCCACACTGGCTTCCTTTCATTTCTATGAGCACAGTAAGCCTTTCCCTGTCCCTCAACATCTGAACTAGCAAATCCCTCCTCATTTAGGCCTCACCTTAAATGTCACTTCCCAGAAGGGCCTTCTTGGGCTCTGTTGTTCGTCCCCTGTTCTCCATTCTCTGTTCTTTCTGAGAAGGATTTGCATTCATTTATTGTACATTCTACAATTGACATCTAATATTTTCTTTCTCTGTTTTTTGTTTATCTCCCTTCAGTTGAATGAAAACAGCACCTAACACAGCTAGTGTTCAAGTAATACTTCTTTTTTTAATTAAATCATAGCTGTGGACATGAATGCAATCACGGGGTACAATGTACTGGTTTTACATACAATTTGAAATGCTTTCATCAAACTGGTCAACATAGCCTTCACGGCATTTTCTTAGTTATTGTGTTAAGACATTTATATTCTACACCTAGTAAATTTCACATGTACCCTTGTAAGACCGCACAGTAACACTCATTTAATTGTAAATCTTTGTCTCAACTTTGGTAGCTTATGTAAGATCACCATAGTTTTCTAATACTGCCTTAGTAACTCTGTCCCTTCCATATTCTCTGAGACAGATAGCATTGGTTCACTCACCAAAAGGACCAGTACAGCAGAGGAAAGTTTCAACCCCCTCCCCCAACCCTTGTTGACCAACCACTAGGTCAACATGTGGATTTACCTCTATAGTTTGGAATCATTAGATAAGGGGAAAAGGTGAGGGGAGATCCGATGAAATAAAACTTGTCATTTCTCAGTTAAAATTTTAAGGAAGAGAGAAAAATTCTTACAAGCAAACATTTTTGAAGTTAAAGCTCTTAGAGAAAGTAAATGGGGACCAAAAAACGGTGGTTAGAAAAAAGAATGTCGGTGAATCGGGAAAACTAAGTCAGAAGGAGGCAAGAGAGAAAGAGCTCACCCCGAGCTCTGAGGTTTCCTGGTTCTGGGCTTGCTACTGCCTCTTGCCTTTTAAACACATTACACGGAAGATAAAGTGATGGAGTGAAGTGGAGTGGGGACCAGAGAAAGAGTCGGGTGGGGCACCAAGGCGAGAGCCCCTAATGAAGCTAGAAAGAAAAGAGAGGGACCGAGGAGACAGGAGAGGACAGCAGTACAAAAGCAGCCTCGGATCTTGCCGGCGCTGCAAGCGTTAAGGGGAGGCGGGGAGTGACGCGATTTGCGTCTGAAGCGGCTCCTTGGAGTCCACAGCATCCACCGCCGGAGCCTCGCCTTCCTTTCTCCCTCTGCAGACATATCGAGACACAAAAAGAGAGGCAACCCCTAGATCCGCGCGAGGGACCCAGCGGCAGCATGACCGAGACCACCAAGACCCACGTTATCCTGCTGGCCTGCGGCAGCTTCAATCCCATCACCAAAGGGCACATTCAGATGTTTGGTGAGTCCTCCCGCCCACCCCCGAGGCTGCTTCCGCTCCTCTCCGGTCCCCGGCACCTGTGTTTTCCCGGCGATGGACCGGGAAGGCGTGCGCCCCTCCGGAGGGGTGCTGCGGCTGATCCCGCCGGCGGCAGGTCGGCCTTTCCATCCCACTCGGGGAGGCCACGCAGGCTACGTTTTCCAGGCGTCACTTGCTCCGGCCAGACCCAGCTCTTAGGGGCGGCCGGGAGTGGGGGTTGGAAGGGAGCTGGAGGTGAGTGTCTTTTGGGGGTGGATGGGGGTTCGAGGTTTGAGTACTGGAGCGTGGCGGTGAGGTGGTTGGTTCGGCTACTTGGCGGTGAGGACCGGGATGGGGTAGAGGCTGGGGCGCGGAGAGGGGAGGTGGGGGTTGGAGATAACGTGCTGTTTGTTTAGAATGGGCTGAAAGCTCGGAGGAGGTAAAAGATGTGTATGCCTCCGAGGCGCACACTGGCGCACAACACACCAGTGACAGGGGCTGAGGCTTGAAGGAGATTGAATCAGGGTTTTGCTGATGGTTCCGGGAGGCCGAGGGGCGAGTGTTTGGGGACTGTGGACCGCGTATTGCCCGCGCGAGCTGGATACGGAATGAATGGGGAAGGGGGCCCCGGGTCTGCCTAGGTCTGAGTGCTGGGACTGGCTGCCTAGGAAGGGGAGGGGCCGGGCAGCTGCCGCCGGAGGCCCTTCTCAAGCCGGTGTTGCTGGATGGGGCCCAAGTTGGCTGAGGCTCTGCCCAGGGCGGCTATGGCACCCGGAAGGCTTGCGGCGTGCGAGTGTGTGTATGCATGTGTGTGTGAGTGTGTGTGTGAGAGTATATGTGTGTTGGGGGGGGAGGGGAGCGCATCATCGAGCGTTTGTTTCTTCGAAGCTTTGGGGCGTGGAGCAAGAGGGAGAAAGCAGGGGCTCACGGCTGCGGTTTTGAGGTCCAGCAGAGGAGGGACAGGAGAAAGGTGACTGACGGATGCCTGTTGGAGATTTCGCGCCACGGGTGGGGAGGCCACGCAGCTTCGTAGCTGTTCCGGTAGGACCCAAAGGCGCGGGGGCGTGCGCGTTTAGACCCTGAGAGAGGGACGTGGAGGTCACTTGAGAAGCAGGGATCGAGGAGAAGTTAGAAGTTCGGGGTGCTTTTTCCTGGGACTGAGGCAAACAAGGCGTAGGGGAGAGCGAGTGGGTTGGAGATGGATGAGAGAGTCCCTGACCTGACCGGGTAGCAAGGCGCTCTCCAGAGGCGGCGGTGCTGAAACGCAGGGCGAGCAGCAGCTGGCTGCGGACACCGGGTCCACCCGAGCCCGGGGACTGCGGGAGCCCTCCTGGAGCCGTTTAATGAAAGCCACAGCGCATCAGTAAGGGCCAGGAGAGGTAGCCTAGGCTAAAAATATTATCTTGAAACCGAAGAGGTGAGTTGAACTGGGACCTCTTTAAAAAAACCTCATGAAAAGAATATAGAATTACTTTTAGCAGAGGACAGATCAGGCACCCTTCCATGATCGAAGGAGGGAAACGGAGAGATAGCTTTCCCTTCCTCGCCATTCCTTCAACTTTTAAAAGTGTTTTAATAGAAACTAATCCCAATTTGTCTGTTAAATAAATACTTCTGTTCAAGCGTCAGGATAGACAAGAACATCCCATCAAGTCTTCTAGGGGAATAGCAGGGCCTCGGGAACGCTTTGCTTTCACTTTCTTTTGATTCTATAGCTTCACCCCTTCCCTTCTTGGCCATATTTTCTCTAGCTATTTAACGTGGAAGTACTTCATCCCTCTCCCTTGGCCGGGCAGGGATAGGCGTTCCTTTGGACCTCCTCGGCTCTAGGAATCTTTAGTGACCCAGCAGGTACTCTCCTCCTTTCTTCCTAGAGCCAGGAACGTAGTCATATTCCCACTTGTCTTAGATTAGAAGAGGAGCAGATCTGAAGTAAAACCAAGGATTCTGTCTTACAGCCGAAGATACTTTGGTAACAATGACGATAAAGGCTTTTGTGAAGTGGGTACTGACTTGACGATTCTCTATAACACGTGGAAGTAGGCGTGGATTGCCGACAAAGGATTAGAAGTAGAATAGGGGAAAGGAGACTTTGGACAGTTATGATTATTTACTTGGTATTAGAACCGAGAATAGCTGTCAACAAAGCCCCTTGAGTGCCCATTTGTTAAGTATCATCCACAGGGCAACAGGGAAAAAGGACTTGATGATGTGCTTACTATGGCTGAGGAGCTTCTTACCTAAGGAAGAATTCAGCACATAAACACGCGAAAATGAAGACTGAGAACAAGAAATACATGTTGAACTATGTCTTTGTAGACTCTCTTATTGTGCTCTTGATAAATCCTGGAACTCTTAATACATTTTGTAATTTATTTTTGTAGAGCAGTTTCTGGTTAACAAAACTTTTTCATATGTCACTTATTCCTATAAACAACCTTATAAGGAAGATGTCATTGCAAATGGGAAGTGGACAAAGGCTGGGTGACTTTCTTATGAACCCACAAGGAGAGTGAGTGGCAGAGCTGAGACTTGAACCTCTCATTCCTGATTCCTCTGGCAGGGGCGTTTGTACTGCAGCAAGGGTAGAAGGACGTGCTCACTGATCTGACTGCGTAATTTCACAAACACTCTATTGCTTACAAAGATACACTAACAGATTAGAATTAAATTGGCCATCAAGTAAATGAGATTCCTAAATATGCATTCCTTTAACATCTTTTTTCCATTTCTAGAGAAACCAGTTATCCATGAACTACTTCCTCTTTGTAAATGGCTTTTAAAGCTTTCTCCCCAACAACACTGAAATAATCATACAATTAAATTATCAAATTTCCTTTAAGGTGCCTTAAATTTATAATAAAAGTAAAAAAAATAGACAGAAATAGGATTTGAAATCAGACACCTTTAATAGAGTTTCTATATTTTGAAATCTAATTGCTTACCAAAGGAAAAGAAAAACTTTATTATTATTATTATTTTTTTTTTTTGCAAACAGAGAAATGGCATTGGGAACTAAAGACTTGCTATTTATCTTTCAAAAGTAGCATTTGTGGGGGCACCTGTGGCTCAAGGAATAGGGTGCTGGCCCCATATACCCGCAGGTGGTGGGTTCAAACCCAGCCCTGGCCAAAAAATGCAAAAAAAAAAAAAAAAAGGTAGCATTTGTATAATTCTAAATACTTGTAAAATTTTTTCAGAATGAATTTTTTTCCTTCTCTTTCCTCTGAAAGAAGAGTTGATATTATTACTCCTATGTTTGACTATAGAAACAGAAAAACAGTATTTGTGATAGAGACTGTTGACATTTATATACTCAACTTTAACTAAAATATTTTCAGGGACAAATAAAAGTTTTTGGCAAAGGAAACCTATAAACTAATGATGTCCTATTTTTATGGGTCCACTTAAGGAGAAAGTGTGAAACTAGAAACTGTTTTTAGTATAACTTCCTTTGCATTTATATTGCTATTATTTGTTAAGAAATCCATTGCTTAGGAAGCCCGAAAAATAAGCTGAAATAGAAAAGTTAGAAAGAACCAATAGATTAGTTAGACCATGAAAAATTAGAGGAAATTGAGGGATAGCATCGCAGTAGAAATAGATCCTGTTTTTTGATGGTTGCAAAATAACTGCATTTTTCAGTTTTTCTATTTCAAAATATTTTTGCTTTGAACAAGTGGATCTTTCCTGTTCCTTTTAAAGGATAGTGAAGAGAGCACTCTACTTGTTGTGGAATTAGAAACTCAGCTTCTACTGCTATAGTTAGAAACCATAAGAAAAATGAATTTGAGTTGCTACTAAGATATAGACAACTACCAGAAATCAAAAAAGTGTTTAATGTGCTTGAAACGCTTATATAAAAAGGTCATAGCTGGGCGCAATAGCTCACGCCTGTAATCCTACCACTCTGGAAAGCTGAGGCAGGTAAAATGCTTGAGCTCAGGAGTTTGAGACCAGCCTGAACAAGAGCTAGACCCTATCTCTACTAAAAGAAAAAACTAGCCAGACATTGTGGCAGGTGCCTGTGGTCCCAGCTACTCTGAGGCTGAGGCAAGGGAATCTCTTGAGCCCAAGAGTTTGAGGTTGCTGTGAGCTATGATGACACCACACACTCTACACAGAGCTACACAGTGAGACTCTGTCTCAAATAAATAAGTAAATAAATAAATAAAAATATAAAAGCTGTAAATTCTGTGTGGTACTTTTTATATATACTTTTGTACCATTATCTTATTTGCTCTTACCCTATCCGAGGTAAACTAGATAAATATTATCTTTCCCTGTTTATAAATTACAAAGCAAAGGTATGGGTTTAAGTCATTGGGTCAAGGTTATAAGAGAAAGAATCGGTGTAGAACCAGTTTATGGATATCTAGACTCCCATTCATGAGGCTGCTTCTTTATTCCCTTGTCATTGCAATAGCACCTATGAAAGAAGGAGCATCTGAATTTAGCTGTCCACAAGGGTAACAAGAACCTTATAATTTTCATTCCTTAGTCACACAGGCCACCAACAAAAATATTCAGCAAAGACATCTGTTCCCAATATTATATGTTTATAACGAGAAAAGGCTATTTCTTGTCTCAGTGCGTTTTTATTTTCCATTTAAGTGTGTCATCAGAATATTCCTTCCCAAACACCCCCAACTACCTCTTCTTACTCTTCTTTTCTGTTGTCGAAAGGAACTCCTATCCCTTCTTCTGATTGGGGAATGTCCACTGACCTCTACATTAAGTCTGGCTACCCTGACATTTACTCCCACATCAACTTATGCTTTCCATGCCTTAGCTTTATGCCATGTATTTCATGACTGTTTTCCATGATAGACCTCAAGCTCATGAAAACAAGCAATGCCTGGTGCCATAACTGGTGTATTTCCTAGTACCTAGCATGAAGTATGCTTTCCATAATCATTGTTGATACATTTAAGAAATGAATGTACAGAATCTTGTTCCACACAGAGGAGTCGGCCATAGATAAGTCATGATACCGAGTCATG